TAACCTCACAATAACACCAGTCCTAATCTCACAATAACACCAGTCCGTACCTCACAATAACACCAGTCTTCACCTCACAATAACGCCAGTCCTAATCTCACAATAACACCAGTCCGTACCTCACAATAACACCAGTCCTCACCTCACAATAACACCAGTCCTCACGGCCAAGATTCATCTTGACTTCCAAGTCAAGATTAATTAAAAAACAACTCAACATGTTAACATTCTATTTATAACACGTACATAGTGTATTCAAACCAATGAAAACAACTCAATCGGATAAATAATTGTAACCTGGCCTTCGTCATCATTAATATGCCCGCACACTGAAACATGGAATTATCACTTTTTTGGCAAATTTTGAATATTTGAAAATGCACATTTATTCATCATACAACACGAAAATTAGTGTCCACCCATTAACTTACAAACTTCCAGGATTCGTCAACCCTTCGAAATTATTACCAAAGTTATTAAGGTTTTAATTTTTTGTGCAACGCACATTCAATTTTGTATTTGCATGGATTATATAACCTTCTTGTAATTATTTATCTAAGTTATTTAGGGCAGGTTTAGAGGCCAAAACAATGTGAATAATGACACATGGCAATCGAAGAATTCGAGGAGGGGATACTAAATAAATGGTTCGGCAAATGCTATAAAAGTTGAACAAAAACAACTTTGAAGCTAACTTTTCGACATAGTGTTTGAGCTCATTTTGTGAGCCTTCAGCTGGTATCAATTGAGAAGAAAACTACAAAAGAATCAATAAAACTGTAAAAGTTGTTCCCAATACTTTAGGTTTCTATTATGACCTCATTCACATTATGTTCCCAGGTAAATTGAGAATGCCGTAATTGCTGGTCATCGACTCGCCTCAATCCCAAATCGATTTCAAAGCTGAATTTAAGTTGCGCGTAACTTAGAAATCAGCAAAAAAGTAAAGACGAACGTTAGTGTGAAAAAACACCGGGAGCAACAGGTTTGAAAGCCAATCCACTATTCTTTAGTACTATAATCAAATGCAATATAAGGCTTTAAAGAAAACTCGCAGTTTCCCGTCCAGAATTCTGCAAACGTTTTCCAAGACCTGAAAGACGCGATAATTAACTAGAAATTTGAGCGTGATCCTGAAGGTTGAGTCTGCTGTTATCATCGAAATAAATATCCAAGAGGCATATGAAATGTACGATGTTATAAGTTGATTGAATTTATGGTCACAATAGAGTCCATAAAACTTTGCAGCTTTAGAAATCCCAGTCAAGGGCTTGTTAGACTTTAGAGGACCAAAAAAGTGCTGTCTTATGGGACGTATGCACGAGTCTACTTGTCTGCGTTCCACAGCCAAGGCTTGATTATGGATCCATTGTTCATGTAATGATTCCTCCTCAGCTACGATGCACCCTGGGGCACAAGCGTCGACAATTCCGTATTTCCGCATGTGATGCGCCGCGTCTAATTCAGAGCTAATGTGCACATTGGATCAGATAGAAACCAGTTGAAGATAATCTATTTAATTTTCTTCTCTGGAGCGAACCTTCAGCGAGCTCTTGACTGGAAACTAGGAATCTGACGCTAAAAACTGACCTGTACTCCGGCTAGTGAGTTTCTTGTAACAGTAACTTTGCCCTCATTCATTAATATGATGCCTGGGGATGAAATGAGGATTTAAAGTGTACAGTTATACCATGCGGTTGCAACTGTGTGTCGGCACTTTCCATTCCACTCTTGCCAATTCCTAACATAATTACTGCAGCTTAGTGAATTCGGTCAATTCTACGGGGTAAAGAGTCACGTCTTGTTCATTTTTTTCGTAACAACTTTGCCTGAGGTTTTTAACGAGCAAGCTATAAATTTCTATTTTATTTTTAGTCTGTAAGTTCATTAATGTATACCAAATGAGGAGTGAGGCAGAGATTCGTTTTCAATATACTTGAAATTTAAAATCACTCCCTTGGTCAGTGTTAAATCCGCAATATGGTTTCCAGCAATTCATCTTCAATTACAACAATACAATGAAAAGTTGAGTTTCATGAGGAAGAGTTAGCCTCTCAACTTGCATGTTGCAACTAAAGCAAAACCATAAAATAAACAATGAAATAATAAAATTGGTCAAATAATTTCAGCCAGTAACCTAGTCAGAAAACATATAGCTGATTCAACTACCTTTGTTTGGTGATGATGAAACAAAGCAATGAAATACAACATACAAACAGCAAATACTTTTCAGATCGACGTCGTTGTCTGAGGTCCTTTGGCACAATTTGAAATATGATTTATTCATAATTAAACCTCAATTCCTAATTATCTAAGCAAATCTCGATGATCTAAGTTTGAATGAAGCAGAATAATTTAAACGCCTTTGGACATAATAACCCTTCATTGACACTTGAAATGTATTACTGCCATAAGCCGCCGCCAAGGGTTCAATTGATAATACTCACAATAAGGCGAGTCTTGTCACGTTCCAGAAGCTAACCAAGTTGACATGTTCGCACCACAATAATATTATTGAATATTTTATTGTATGAATACGAGCAATAATTGGTTGCAAATAGTTAATGGATACATATTTCTGTACAGCTTTGAATAATGAGATAATATGTGAGCTTTATCTCATCCGGTGCATTTATCCAATCGTGTTGCAAGCAACCAGTGAGCCATCAATTCATCATCCAATCCTCCACTATAGCAGCCGGCGAGCCTTTACTTATAATCATCCAATCCTGTTATAAATCAGGACCATCATTCAATCAATCCATTGAACATATTTAAACAATGAAAACGTGACATGGTTTTATGCTTTATTGCTTATTATTGTTGCTAATAGATATTTTATCATTGCACAGATATTTTTAGTTAATTTTGTGCCTAAATTAACCAAACCTTCAAACTATAAATGGCAAGCATCTCTGAATATCAAAAAGGCCAAATTGTTGGTGGTCGTACGGCAGGTGCTAGTGTGACAGAAACTTTCCGAATGCTTGACGTTTCTAAAGGTACTGTTTCAAACACCTACAGAACCCAGTTCCCATGAAGACTTCAAAGCATTTAGAGTGGTATAAATTATCTCAGAACTGGTCCCTTGGGCAGTGGGAAAATGTGATTTTCTCTGATGAATCATCATTTATCTTATTTCCAACTATAACCGAGTTTACATTTGGAGACAGATTTATGGTTAATTTTTGAGATGCAAGTCGTTTATTTAGTCTCTGTATTGTTCGGGTATTGAGGGATAGAAAAGGTGTTCAGCCTAACATAAAAGAAATTTTATACAGCGCTTTTCGGTTTATTGAATTTAGATGCATATCATTTCAAAATAAATCTGTAGAAAATAAATTCCGCGATATTTCAAAGTAGCAACATCATGCTGGTCGACAAGAATCCTAACCCAGTTCAACTACCGTACCGGTCAGGTTGTCTGTTGAAAAAGTTGTTCAACGAGACGGTACGAGTCATAAAAGTGCCGAGGCTGGTAATTCGGAATCTAATTGGAGCGTCGATTGCTGGATGATGGCGCATCATATAGGACGACCGAATGCTGTTTATTAGTTTGAATAAGTTCACAAAATGTTTTCAACAAGAAAAATTTCTTCAATTATTCCCAACAAATTGCACAGAACAATTTGGTTTTTCAACAAAGCCATTCGTTCGATGAACTTTTGCTTAAGATAAATTATTCTGCTTTCTCCGGGTTACAAACACTTAACCTGAAAGAAGTTAATTTTCATGAAACGTCGATTTTGTTCGGTATTATATGATCAAAATTTTACTTACAAATACTTACAATGAATTGCGCGGTAATTGTTGACTCTTTATATAATTAGCGTCTCCTACAATGTCATCCAATTTCCTGGACAGAGGCCGCATGACGTGGGTCGCCAGAAATGAAGAGACCTTTTTAAGAAAAACCTAGCGAGCAGAGATAGCGGAGGTGCCCTAGCCTCCTCCCATGGAATGGCCTGGCCAGATCACAGCCACAGGATCCCGCTATCAACGCTGCATTAAAAACTTGCATCTTGCACAAAGGAAGCTGTACTCTAAAGCACGTGGAAAAACTGAAATGATTCTTCATCGCCCCAAGTGTAACACATGAAAGAAAATGATGGTTATCTAATTATGTATTATCACCGGCGGTTATCTAATTATGTCGGCGGTGGTCGATTTTATAACTTCATCCACTTAATAATTTCATGAGGTATTAAAATTATGATTTAGTTGAATGTGATCGATTAGAAATAGAATTAAATTATACGAAATTTTCAATTTACTTGAAAAGATTAAATATGATGCTGACTTATCTCTTTTGAAACAGGAGAGCACTATAGTTCATGTGTGTCCAAGCCCGTGGCTTGTGCTGATTTGCGGTGTGTTCATATTCGGTCTTTCGTTTCATCTAAATTTTTCATATTACTTCTACTGATATGTAATTGTAAGTAGACGTAATCAATAAAAAAATATCAAATGTGCTGCACAATTTCTCCGTCGTAGGTCCTAAAGGAACCGATCACGTTACTTTCGTTTTAAGAGTAATCCAAATACCTTCTACGTCTTAGTGTCAGTCACAATTTTGAAAATTAATATTGTATACATGTACGTATAGTACAAAATGACTGTAAATTCCTTCTGTCTAATACCAGGGCATAGTAAGAATCTGTTTGAACTATATCGTGTCCAAATGGTGTTAAGAATTGTTGATTGGCCTTACGGTATTTCAGTTCGAGACATACAAGGCTGATGTCATTTTCATTTTGCTAGAACATTTCTTGTTTTCAGAAGAACGATACTCGTGTAACAGAAACTCCGATCGATCATTTACTGCGGAACTTTATGTCAGCCTAAGTCGCCGCATCCTATAACTTGAGATCCTAGATCAGATAGATTATCCTATAACTTTTAACGTTTTTTACTGAAAATTCATTTAACATTATTTAGCTTTTTTAGAATACTTATTAAACTATAGGATTTTTGCAGTTTAATGATAGATTTTTGCAATTTTGAATTAAAGAACTTGCCGTTAACACTGCAAATGGCTTGAAATGCACGGAGTACGCTAATTCGAAATAGTGAAAATTTTGTCAACCATATCAGAAGGCTTATTAAACGAGTACGCGAACGGAATTACATGAAATATAGGCGTGCAACTTGCAAAGATATATTAACGAGCAGATATATAGAGGACAGCGTTTATGTCTCGATGGAATTCAATTCTTGAAATTCAGTGCAGCCGAGTAACAGTGTTGCAATTTACATACATATAATTAGCGAATTTGAATTGCATGCATCGAAGCAAGAAAAAATTCATTGAAATTAAAGAGAACTTCAGAAAACAAACAGAATTTCAGACTTTACTGACGATGTCAGTAAAAAATATGACAGTAGAGTCTACTGACTTTACTGTCAGTAGACGATGTACAATAAACCAATAAATCAACGTGGCGTGAAACTGTAACAATTTGAATGTCATGCAAAATATGAATAATACTATGAATAATTTCCAAAAAAATATATCATAAACATAACACGGAATTTCAACATTGTAATGCATAGAGCCCCTCATGCTATTGTACTGTTCTCTATTTCAAGAACGAACAGGAAATTCATGCCCAATTAGGCTACTTGATTGTAACACCGACGTTAATAACAAGACCTACTGTATTTTCACCCGTACATATACATAGTATAGTTATCGAATCTCCTTGCACAAGTTCCATAAGATCTGGAATACTCATAATCCATTGATTCAAATGGCCTGTAAGTTAATGTTCAATTTTAAATTTCAGTTTAACAAATTTAATTTCAATTCTCGATAGAGTGAACTCGTCCTCAGCTTTGCGTACACAAAGCATTTTTCGAAATGATCTGAAAGCCCATTTAATTTTCAATGAATGGAAACGACTGACTTGTCTTTGGCGTAAAAAATCGTCTGTTTTAGAGGTTTTATCAGTTTTCCAACTCAATTTAAATAGTTTTTCTGTGTATAGTGACCGTATTCATAAGTAAATGATTAATAGGCATTGAAACAAATATAGTAAATGGACAATTATCTTTGAGCACGACATTTATCGGGATGAGTTTAAACAGACTAAACTACGATTATAACAGTATTGATTATTTTTAATGCCGCAAGATACCATCGTCAACACTGGCTTGGACAGGAATCGAGCTTTCGAATGAACAAGACTTGTTACTTCTCCTGCAGCGCATCTTGACGCCGCGCTGCCGGCCGCGCCTCACGTCGTCCAGGAGCTGCAGAGAACCCGAGTCCCCGAGCACGTGGGCGAACCCGGCGCTGAGGAGGGGGGGGAGAAGTGAAACAAGTGAATACGGGGTGAAAAGCCATTAATACGAGGGAGAAAACTCGTGGGTATCAGCTATCATGCTTAAATAAAACACTTGAGTGCGAGGCTCTGAGGAGTGAGAGAACACCGGAGGACTGAAAAATGTCAGGAAAGAGAGCACGAGTTTAGTCGTAGTAAAATAAATTCATTGCATGTAGACTTACATGACGTAGGCATCTAAGTTATCTTCGGCTTCATCTCGGAGCAGCTCAAAAAGAGAACACTTGGCGCATGCTGTGGGATCATTGTAGACTTTCCACAAGTGATTTACACGATCCACAATCCCATCAGTTTTCAGTGCCTCATGAGTCCTTGGGTGCTGGTTCTTCTTCGTATATAAACTACCTAGTAGGTCAGGTACATCTTCAAGGTAAAGATCGAAGGGATCATCCACACCTCTCCTTCGCCTTCGCCTCTTCCTCTTTCCTGCGGGTCCAGTTTCCCCTTGAGCTCCAGCATCACCTGGCATCCCTCGCGCTCCAGCGTCTCCAGGATCTCCGCTCATGCCGCCGAGGCCCGCCATGCCAGCCTCGCCTGGATCACCCGCCATCCCTGACGGTCCAGCAGCACCCGCTGCCCCGTTGACTTGAGGTCCCATGGGTCCAGTTGGCCCTTTAATTCCTTTAAATCCTTTCAGTCCCTTATCGCCTTTAATGCCTTTATCACCTTTCATTCCTTTGTCGCCTTTCATTCCTTTGTCACCAGTAGGTCCTTTGTCACCTTTATCTCCAGCAAGGCCGCTGAACAACAACGCTCTTAGGAACGTCTTTAGTACGAGAGTTGCTAGGATACCGTACGTCCCCAGAGCCAACGATGCAATCAGCTTGATAAGTTTCTTATCATACTCTTCATTATAATCCTCTGATGGCAACACTATTAAGTTGCCATGATTGTCATCGTAGCCTCCAGGACTATGCCCATAGCCATATGTATTCTGTCCGTAGGTTCCACCATAGGAATAGTCATCCTTGTTCTCGAGTTCGTCGTATTCGCTTCTGCGTTGCAGCTTTGATGGAATTTCTTCTAATTTATTGACGAATCTTTTCCTTCGTTTCAATCCGTTTTGATTTTTTGGGGCAATGTCATCATCGAAACTACTGAATAGCGACTGTAGTTTCTGTATGCACAACTCATGTATTTTGTCATCGTGGTTGGAATTTCTCTTGCATATATAATCACTGATACGCGAAATCATTATTGGGCTATCAGAAATTCTTTCCAGCACTAATGAAAGTAAATCAATCTTTTCGTTAATGAAGTTTACTAGGTCGTCATCCATCTTGTCCAGAACTGCCTTCAAATCTTCTTTTATTACAGTCAACAAACTTGCAGGTGCCTGACAGGTGTAAAGTGAGTCTCGTTGAGAAAGATGCCAGATGAGCTGCTCCAGAGGAAAATATTTCCTCTTATCTGAATATAATTTTTCAATGTCTCCCATTTTGCTCGTAAGAATTAATTCTATCGAATTTGTCAATAGGGTCTGAATTTTATTGTTCATGGCTTGGGAGCATGGATCGAGTATTCGTAGGTCTAGGAAGACACGGCTCACTTCTTCAATTTTTTCAATAAGAATTTTTTTAGCAGAAGGAAAGGCTGGGTTGCCGAATGATTGATCCAATTTGGAGATGTTCTGCAGAGGTGACGTCAGTATAGAATTGTTTGCATGAAAGCTCATCCCATAATGAAGCCCATTCATGAGTTCAGCAATTTCAGCCAGTGCTCCTGCTTCAATTATATATTTAGGTATAGTTTCATTGAAGTCTTTGTGTATTTCTTGAGTCTCATTTGATTGATGTTTTTGCAACACTAATCGCTGGGTTTTATCCTCAAAAGAATCTTCTCTCGCCAGAGACACTTGACCGTTCATGGTCCCGACAGAACCGTGAGAGATGAGCGCCAGAGCAGCAAGGAAAGACCACAAGGCCACCATCTGCAGGATTAAAAGTGGCATCTTAAATGTGAGAGTATAAATTAAGTATGTTAACTTATTATGTAGAGTCGAGGAATAACGAACCTCCCGATAAGATAATAATTTTAAAAAGGGCCTATAATTTATTTTCGATTCGTCTTTCCTTTGACGGATATTCCACAAAACAAATATATTGAGTTAAGGAAGATAAGAAAGCAGTACCGTGTTCAATGAAGTATTTTCACCTACATTCTAAACATCTAAACATCTTTTGGCAAACCTTAATTAATGGCCACCATCTGGCTTGAACACAAATTAATGTACATGTAATGAGATAATTCTTCCGCCAGGAATCATGCAGTTTATATTTCGTGAAAATTTTGAAAGTTAACACCCACCATATTCATTAGAGAAGTAAATGTACGATCGACCCTTAGCAGATTCTCAAAACATCGTTGCGAGTCTGAAAGAGTAAAAATTTAAGTTATTGGTCTGATTTTTCAAATACACAGTTAAAATAATATTTCTTATATTTTTTGGGTTTGATTCCATAAATACAATGCATCCCACACAAATTTCCTCCGTATTCATAAAGCATCTTGAGAAAATCATGCCTATTGCTTAAAAATTCATTTTCATCAGTATTATTATTCCAGTGACTTTAATTACGAGTAATGAACAGTTAGGAAAAAGTGCGATCTGTTATAAAAATGCTAACTAATGCTGCTAAGAAGAGAAAGAACGAACAAAAATTCGTATTATCACTCAGACATACGAGTAAGAATATATGTTCACATAATGACGGACTTTTTGCTACTGTGTCGGTTTGCCCAGCCAAAACTTATTATAGTGCTACGTCCGCTTTTTACTCCTGCTCTGGGTAAGGAAATATGGCACTATTTAGACTATACCTGATCATTATGCTAATGAATGAATGGCACTTAAATGTATTGCGTATTCACGTGTGATTGTCCAGGCGCGAATGAGTCGGCACACTAAACCACCAGTTTAAGTATATGAACAATTCTCATAGATTAACAATTTTTATTGACCGCTTTACTTTTTTAATCCCTTCAAGCTCATTCACTTCATTATGAGCGGACACAATCTACGAATTGCTAAGTTTCAAACTGGTTCTGTGAGACAATTTTTAATTTCAAACATTCAAATGGTTATTAGTTTCAAACATTCGAATTACGATTACCATGTCCTGATAATTCGAATCCAATGCATCACGCATACTTTCACGTCTTCTACTGTCTGATAGCTCATTGACTTTTATTCTCAGACGTAAACCGTCAATTAATCAGTCATTCATGCTCAATATTTGATAAGACAATTATTTGCAATGACTTCCCCTAGCAGCGCTCTGAAGTCGTTGATCAAGGCGAGAAATGAGCTAGTGAACTTCAATTTGTTATAACTTACAATATGAGCGTCCAATTGAACAGCAAATATGCATTCGTTTTTTAACACATTATAACTGCCTCAGTATTTCAATATTCAATATCAGTTTCTTTGTTCTACCTATTTTGGTGATCTAGAGAATGCAAGCCTCGCTTCCAACTGATTAGCATCGCTCTTGACAAGCAATCACCATGAGTCGTCAGTAATGCCGCTACTCATACCCGATTAAGATCAGTTAATATTCTACGTTTCAGGACGTTACTTCATTAAGGTTTTGGTCACCAATCACACTCTGCTCTAAAAAAATAATAGCTCTAAGAAAATTTCAGAAATCTAGGAAACAGCAGATTGTCATGCAGGCCGTTAGGCGAACGGTCAAGCAAGAAAAAATTTTAAGGTGTTTGAAAAATATATTACATACAATTATTTGACTAAATATGATATACGTAAAAAGAATGCACGTTTAGTGTTAATCGCTTGGTTTATCAATTAATGGCCTCTATAGTTTTGATGATCAAGCTATAGTTCACACATCAAATTCATTATTTGACAATAACAACTGCAATTATATTACCATCAGCCTTGCGTTCCTAATAATTAATGTCTGCAAAATCAATGTTCACGGAAAACTCACCAGCACAGCATGTCCTGCCCTTCAGTACACAGCCTGCACCACGATACCTGCACCACTGAGGGCCTCACCGACCACGCAGCGCCCGGCGCGGATTTGGGTCAGAACCCTGGATCTCGATCGGACTCGGAGCGCCGGCGTTGCGTAATGCGCAGTGAGCAAGCGACGCGTCAGGTTTGGAAGACTTCACCGTACCCTCAGGTCAGTGTGGCCGTTTGACGAGGCTACGGTCGGCAAAGAATGAGATCATCAGAAATTGCGACTTCACTTTTTGAGATAAAATTAGGCAAGAAAATTTCGATGCTGTTAGCTGTGGCAAGTTTAGTCCATTGACATAGAAGAAATTTTTTGTGATTATAATTACAGAATTAGCATTGTGGCTCCAGTCTTCCGCCTATTTTGTTGAAATATTATTGTATGTCTCCTACGTTTGCTGGAAGTACACACGCATAATACAAGCGTGTACATGTATGAAATTTTTGCAACCTAAGCTGTGGCCATTGTAAAGAAATCCAACGTATCCCAGTTTGTAGCCTCAGCTCCTCTGCATATTTTGAATCGGCCGCAGCGTTTACAATTAAATAAAAATACTGTACCAAGCCATGCGAGCATTGCTGTAACTTTTTTTATACAAACGTATCGTGTTGTTTTTTTATATAATATTTGACGACGGAGTCTCTTGACAATGTTAATTACGAGAGACTGAGGCGCTGCCGTTGATCCCACGTGCCGCCTTGAGGGGCGAAAAAGTGGAGCATCGGACCACAGCTACGGACCTCAGAACAGTCCAGCTCGTCCGCTTCCGCAGTCCGCAGCGAGGTGCTGGTGTTGCTCCGCGCGTGTTGCCTTCTCCGATAACATAATTCATTCATCTCTAGTTAGAGATACTATTTGACGAAACTATACTATGTAAATTATTGATGAGGTGGAGTGTTCCAGATTACGAAACAAAATCGGTTTGGCCACATAGATTTTTTAATCTATTCTGGCATGCTAAAAATTTGGTTTGACAGTAGTATTTCTTGAATATTAGGGCATGGATCGGTTATTTTTACTTATGGAACTAAATTGATTTGTGCAGTGAAATAGCATACATATATTTTTAATGTAAAAATATGGCTGACCGCCGGCCTCATTAAATGGTTATTTTTGTTGCGTAGACAGCTGTATTCAATTTGAGGGACTAGGATCGACCAACAAGATAATTCTAAGTTTCTATAACAAATCATATTGAGGCTTGATCATATTCTGAGAAAAATATCAGTACCCACATGACACATACAGCCGCTCATCAAATAAAGGGCGGTGAGAAATTAAAGATTTTTTAGTCTTTAATTTAAAAGACTTAAAGACTTTACTAAGACGTTTGATGTAAATTTGAATGCAAATTATGGATAGAAATTAGTGGTTGGACAAAAATAATTTCATTTTTGTGATTATTTTTCCTTCGCTGAATATTAATTATTGGTCCAATCGACATACTACCGCGAGATCGACACCCTCTAGTTTTCTATTGTGTCCGCTTTACAAATGTTTTTCACTCATTCATTTAAAAATCAAATATAAAATATTTTCAAATTTAAGACAGAAATTTTATGAAACGAGGGAGATTAGGCAAGTGAGGCACGGTTTAGTGCTTCAAAATTTGTGAGGAAAAACTCAATAAAACCTATATCGTTACAACTCTAAATAGTAAAGGAGTAAAATCAAATGCTGCGCCGGAGCTGGGCCCAATTATTTCAACTGTGTATTGCTATTGAATGAAAACTTATAATACAGCACCTCATGACCGGCACCCAAGTGTATATAAATTAAACGGGTGCTCCGTAAATTTCGTCAAAATATTTTGAAATTCTTATGGAATTTGGTATGAAATTTCTCTTATTTTATTAACAGGTTCTGGAAGCGATCTTTGAATTTTTATTGTGCATGCATGTATGCGGAAATGATGACAATCAGACGATAAGAAGGAAAATTTATTATATTCACAACAAAACCTTAGAATAACATTTCGGACCGGGAATGTTCTGAATTTGGAATCTCCTTAGAAAACCACAATCTAATAATTTAATCATAGTGAACTCAGTTTTAGATAGAAGAGGATTCACTGCAAGTAAATGTTGTAATTAGTAATAACATAAAAACCTTTTTTTATGCCAAAGAAACAAAACAGGCAAATGTATGAAGAAGAGACTGATAATATGAATACTAGCCTAGACAGCCTTTACGGTTAATTCGAGCCCAAACATCTACAAGGAAAAAATCTAACGGTGCAATACAGACCTGCCAGTCAGCGCACCAGAATATTTTGACAATCAAGCAAGTTCGTCGCTTCTATCCAACTCCACAACTTGCAGCTCTTCAGTGAATTTTCAGAACTAATTCAACCTGGTACATAATGTTGACCATGTATTTGTTGTTTGATTGATCTGAATACTTTTACGTATACAATTTTTGAAAATCGCAAATACTGACATAATCTTAGGTTAATTTAAGTTAAGTAAATATATGAAAACATTAATCAATGTCTCCCGAATGAATGTATTGTCTAACGGGTTCAACTTGCATACCGGAGAAATTCAGGATAAAATAACAAAAAATTATAAATATACCAATGAATATTGTTCATTATTCATTAACGAATACTCGATCTGCGATGAGTCAGATTTGATTTTTATTTGATTTGATGCTCTTTTCAATCTGACTTTTCAGATTTGATGCTCTTTTCAGATGACTACCAGAACGGGTCTTTTCCCAATCATTTGGGTCACAATTCTACTAGCTGGCAATCACGGACACCGCTCCAGCAGGGATGAGTCAAGTCGTCTCACTTTTATAAGAAATCAAGATAATTTCGACCAACAGCGCATTCGTTTATTAGGTGAACATCAAATGTATTTTGATCCAAAAGGTGCAAGATTGAAATTAAATTCTAATTTGCACCATGAGAGACTAGCTACCGGTGCAAGAATCTTTCCAAAAATCAAACAAAATTACACAAGCTATGCGGGCAATTACACCAAAGAGACTGTAACGGACTTAGTGAGTTCTGAAAAGACCTTCAGAACTTTTGGCAACAAATCTGCGAATTTCGATCCGTTTGACCAGGAATTTTTACAGGATATCAACGAAGATGATGTTAATCATGATCGCGTCCTGGTAAATGTACTAGTTGGCCTCTCTGAGATACTCAGCAAGTTTGGTTTTGGTCCTGATTATTGCTCACCTACCTTTACCATCCACGACATTCATCTTGCGTCACGAGACATCACTGAACATTTATTTCTCAATAGCTCTAAAAAATCAACGAAGCTTTGGAAGGACGCCAGTCATCCGTTACGCCGAAGAATACGTGAGATTACCGACAAGTTGCTCGTCCATAAAGAGGACTGTAACTTTGGGGGTTCCAGACAAAACCGTATTAAGAACAGTTTCGAAAAGCTCATTTTCAATTTGGACAATGGACTGAAAAAATATCTGTCTGCTAAAATTTTTCCAATAATAGACTACGTTAGTTCTAGCCCATATGACCTTGTAGAAAAGCTGTTCCCAATACTCGTCCATATTTGTACAGGTACATTTGGAGAGAAAGGTTCCAGTGTAATTCTCTGCGAAAAAGATCTATTGCGTCTCATTCTGAAGGTGCATGACCGCCAATCTGAAGATAATAGTAATACTGACCATCTGATGCGGTACAAGCGCTATGCTGAAGTAGAGGAATCGGAGACATTGTTGACGTCGGAAGATTCTGCATCGCCCGTAATATCCACCGACATTGAAAAAAGTGGAAGCTACGGGGCAGAAGGCTACGGAGGGTATGACGACCCAGGCGTAATCGTAGTTCCTCATGAGGATTATGATACCAGTTACCCGTACCTGCTGAAATTTTTGGCAGCTTTATCCATTGCCACGTGGGTCTTCCTCGGACTTCTTGCTGCTCAGACTTTGGCTGCGCTTATTCTCTTGGCTGGTCCGAAAGGAGCTAAAGGTGATAAAGGTCCCAAAGGAATTAAGGGGATGAAAGGTGACAAAGGAATGAAGGGCATCAAGGGAATGAAAGGCGATAAAGGAATAAAAGGAGTGCAGGGGCCAAGTGGTGCAATAGGAGATACCGGAGAGGCTGGCGAGACAGGTGAAGCTGGCGTAATAGGGGACACTGGGCCAAAAGGCTTCAAGGGCCCTATAGGAACAATGGGAACTAAAGGCACCAAAGGACCAAAGGGCGCAAAGGGTGATAAAGGAGACAAAGGGGCTAAGGGGTTAAAAGGTGTAAAAGGGAATCCAGGGAGGAAAAAACGTGCAGCGCATAATAGTCAGTTAGGTTCCGATATGCCCGATTTGCATGACACTCCTCAACTCCTCGAAGTTTTGTATCGTGCGAACAACATAAACGCTCAAGAAACGTATCAAAATTTCACCAAAATGGAGATGGTCGACATTATGAACTCACTTTGGAAGCAGTTACAAAGTCCTGTTGGTTGTCTACGCTGTGTTTTGTTCGAATACTTGAGTGTCCAGCCATCGGACTCACTCGACTCCTACATAACGTGAGTAAAATTATATCAAATTAATCATTTAACCACTTTTTTAAATTTGATGAATAAAATTAATCAGCAAAGTTGAAGAAGTATCTCATCATTGTTTCCATGGGAAAACGCTTCTGCATTGGGAAATTCCTAGACAAAATAAGACAAGTATTTTGTTTGTCTGTAGACTAACTTTCTCCCGAGTTTAGTTAGTGAGCATCAAAATCTTCATTTGCATTCCTTGTTTTGTATTTATTTGAATAAATTGCAGATGTCTCCCAGGCATTCATGCATTCTCTCCCGACAGCACCTTGAACTTACATGTGTACCAGTGCGAGTTTCCAACTCCACGGCACCAGGTACTCTCTTGTTCACCCCCTCCCTCAATGCCAGGTAATCTTTTGTTCCACCACTTGTTCCCTCACCTGTTCGCTCTCTCCCCAGCGCCGGGTTCGCCCACGTGCTCGGGGACTCGGGTTCTCTGCAGCTCCTGGACGACGTGAGGCGCGGCCGGCAGCGCGGCGTCAAGATGCGCTGCAGGAGAAAGAAAAATTCTTGCAATGTTCAGTACCTGAAAAATATTTGATCACAAACACATCGTCATCCTATTTAATTTTAAAATAAAACTACTAATAATGCCTCGTGTTAAAGCTTGAAATAAGTTTCATTTGCTGAAAGTTGCTGAAATAATATGCAATGAAACAATCGAAAGATTGATAATTATAATTTTTACGTATTTCAAACAAAAAAGTGAAAGTTTCCGGTTTCCGTAGTGCATTAACTGTCTAAAAATTGCGTTATTTACGTTAAAAAATCGACGGCCATCGAAAAAACCGCAGATATGTTTATTAAAATGAAAGTGTGAATTACTAACGCAGGTCGCGAAACGTCAGGTGCTAAAAAGTGATTTTCAACAAATTTTCGGTTCCATTTTGATTAACCATACAGAGTCGTAATTTATCAAGGAGTTGTCGGCACTTCGTGAGACCCTATCATTTTTTCACAATTCGAATTATTTTGAATAATTTCTTTAGATAGTAGGATTAACCAATGAATTTCTCACTATAATATAAATATCGACATGAAAGTTTTTCCTGGTAGAATAAAATTAATTTTGAATCAGAAAATTAAATTGGCTCTACATCGGCTCTACATTCATGATTAAAAATGACAATTTCACGTGTAATTTCGGCAAAATATTTGCTCTTCTTTGTTTATAGGCAATTATTTATTAGTTCAGTAAATCTCCGACTGGTTTCTTGTTTTAACTTCAAACCCAAAAGATATTAAACGTGGTTAATTTAACAAAAGTTCTAATTACAATTAAGCATGTCCGCAATATGTCTCATAAAAAGGCTCATACAAATCAATTAAAAAGTGATAGGGACCTAATCTATGCGAAGCCTGTTGTTGTCCAGACACTGGATAAGCAACGGTGAAGGGAACATCAAACGCAGTGAAGTTTGGCATTTACCTGATCGGGTTTTCATCTTTGAATGCAATTTTCTTTCCTTTCGATCTTTCCAGCTATTTACATCAGCTATTACTCTTTCTGAGACTTAAAATTTTATTCAGATATGAGAGCGAAAAATTTGTTCTCCGAATTAGATTACGATCATATGTAAATTAAATTAGACGAACATTTATTTCAGTTAAAGTGAAAATATAATAAAAATTAATTACGTTTTGGAGCTTTGAGGAAGATTAGATTCTTTAATCATTGTTCTTATGTCCTCTGCAGGCCCTGCATTTACAGGCCTGTGCCTTTTATAGAAATCTTCGTTTTTATATCATCTCCGGAAGAAATGAAATCTGAAGTTGTGAACTGCAACTTCAACTTTTCTATCTAACGACCATCACATCACAACCATAAATATTTTAGTCTCACTGCCAAGTCCCCAGCGGTCGAAGTTTTTTACAGTGGGCAAAAAATTGTCTGTAAAAAACGTTAAGCTACAACTGTAATAATCAACTTTAGAACAAATTTAAAATTCATTCCACTTCCAGTGATTTAATTCTATTAAATAATCATATCAGTTGCTTGGGGGTGACTTTGCATGGGATCACGGTGAAAAACATGAAATCGTGCGTGTTTGCATAAATTTCAAATTATTCACATTCTACATCAATAAATAAGTATGATGAAATTAAAATTTGTATCTTAGTGGAAAATTGTGAGGTATGTGCCTGTAAACATTTTAAGTTAAAAAAATTCTTAAGCAGATGTTCTGGCAACATCGACCCATATATTTGTAGGACGTGTCTTATCGTCTTGCGTTTACGTTATTAGAATAGAAATGTCGGCATTGAAGAAAATAGGCCCATGACCTGTTACCGATTCTTGAATTTTTCGTGACTTGATTCACAAGGGATCGGGAATCTGAAACAAATAGAATAGAAGTGTCGGCGTTGCAGAAATAGGCCCATGGCCTATTTAATAGAACTAATTACAGTGCATATGAACTTGGATTCTACGAAGACAAGGGAACACAGGTTTTTTAATTGAAATGGGAATACGTGTGTTATTCACTCGCTGAAGTGATTTCAAAAAGATGAATGAAAAGCAAGACATGTAAAAAATCTGTGAGGAGTTAAAAAAATTATTGTCCGCACCCTCTGGGTTGCCCTGGTCCCGTAGACATAGCCGTAGGGACATTTGATCTTTGCTCTGAGCTATTATCTTTCCATTTGAAGTATTTCCATTTGGATTCCTCTAATAAACGGTGCCTATAGTCAGTATAGTGAACCGATCACTTCAGCATTTAAAGCGCATTTTCTCATTTATGGAAAAAAGGCGCTATTGTGCTTGTCATGTCCGTCCGTCCGTCTGTCTGTCCGTGACTTCACGGATGGACGAGAAAATGCGCTCTCTGTCACTCACTGCAGTGAGTACTGATCTAATTTTTTATGCTCCTCCTGAGTTACAATTTCAGTTTGCAATCATAGTGCAGTTTTCCACTCGCTAAAATATTGTCCTATTTCATCTTGAGAACTGCCGTTTTAAACCGGTTTGAAAACCTTGATTTAAATGTAACCTTGTATCATTTTTTATTAATTCATTCATTAAATATTAAAGGAACATTAATTCCATTAATGTTCTGACTAAGAATGGACTGATGAATTTTTAATTTAAAAAAGATTCTCTGGAGTTATTTGAATTGAAAAATGCCTGCCGTGTACAGTTTACTAAGCGTTTACATGTGACCTGATAAGCGACCTGAGGTTCATTTGCATACATTTGCAACCGTAGCATGGCCAAGGCTTGATATGTAACAAGGATTTTGAGGCAATTTGAGAAGATTTATTCGTATACGTAAATTGGACCTTCACGTAGTGGATCTGTGTATATCCCCGTAGCCAACAACGGTTCATATCATTTGAAACGAAAACAAATCTATTATATCGCTTATTTACAATTCAACACTGATTAGTATGCATTAAAATATTTCATTTACTTCATTAAAATGGAACATTTTCATGTGACAGTGATAGTGAGACTTCCAGCGTGCAACTATTTTTAGAGCACATGTGTTTGGTCCTTAAATTTAAGTCTCGGACGAAATGCTGGTCCCTAACATTCAGCTCATTCTAGATGTCTATTACATAATTTCGTGTTAACATTTATATCATATCAATTTAGGATTTTTGACAGGATAGGTGGCATGGAGCCTAGCGCGTCAGTTTTCCTGTGCTACGGGACCTCGCTGGCTTGCGCTGGTCAGGCAAATTTCTTGCGCCCCCAATCAGAGGACTTCAACCGGGCCACCACTCGGGCCAATTCACTTTTTTTCAAGATTTGTGTGTTTTCCTGGACATAAATCCAATTTAATAAATTCAATATTCTTTGACGTTTGCTCTCCATCGCTATTTAGGTGGAACTTAATGTTTCCTTCCGCTGAATGAGGAGGTCGCGCTTAAGTTTTGTGCACATGTCTGGGTTTAGATTGATATTAATTAACTAATAAATCGATATTAATTAGCTTAGATTGATATTAATTAGCTTAGATTGATATTAATTAATTAATTTGATATTGAGCGCTGGATCAAGCGTGAATTTGTATTTTCAACGCAATACTAGCGGCGAAAATGCAAATTCCACTTAATGGAATGAAATCATTGATAGAGGTGTTATTATTAAAAAATATAAAAGGACGGTTATGTACTGGTCAATAAATCATTTTTCTTATTGTAACTCACGCAATCAGTGTAACTGCGAGTGAGTAAATCAGGGCGCGAATAAGCTTATATAATAATCTTCTTACTGATAAGTTCAAGTTAAAAAGGTCCGATGAGGTTAGGTTACGTAAGGTTAGAGGTTAGATAAGGTTTGGTTAGATTGGGTTTGATTGGGTTAGGTCGACTAGAGTTTCTCTTATATCATATTCATGCGACTTCAACTACAGCAAAAACACAAGAGTACCACAATGTGTTGTGTGTGTTTTAAGATTGTTGCGGCGGTACAGAGGAATAAAAAAATGAATAAAAAAACATGTGCCCAATAACTTTACGAAATCGAGGAAGATACCTACAGTTCCACGTAACTTAACCGACGTAACAGAACAATCTGAAGAAAAAATTTCGGCAAAAATTCGAATATTTTCCACGCGTGTCACGGAGCAAAGCGCCCATGGTGAAGTCTTGTGTTATACATCATTAGATTTGTCTCAATGACCTTTTCAAACTATGACTAGCTTTTTGAATTACAAATTACACTTCAAATTGCATGATTTTTTGATTTGCCGCCTCAAGGCAGCAGGTTTAGTTTCTAGTTATGCGTATTTATGACCTCTTATCGAGTTATTGATTCTTGCCTTGACATGAGTTGATTTCAGTCAACACCAATGAGCCAAAAGTTGATGAGTTATTATGGTATTGGCGGAAACTATGATTAGGTACGAATTCTCTGCACATAATATCTGGATTATGGACGAAACTGGAAGGAAGTTTTTTTCTCATTTTTTTTCTCAACTAAATATATTTTTCTAGTCGAGGATACATTTTTTCATGTCAAGGGCGATTTTTTTCTCGAAAGGATATATTTTTCAAGTCAAGGATATATATTTTTAAGTCAATGAAATATTTTTCTTCACGTCAGTGATAGATTTTTTAAGCCAAGAGTATATTTTTTTCAAGTTAAGGATATGATTTTTTGAATTGGTAATAAATGAATGAATGTCATATTTTTATTACATTTTTCTTATTTTTAACTGTAAAGTGTTGTTTTATCATTTTTAAACGAAAAAATATGCAATTGTGGTAAAGAGACCAAGGGTGGACGCCTTGCCCAAAACCCATGGGCCCATTGCCCCAGGGGTGGGGCAATGGGCCCACTTTGACACTTTTTACAAAATAGTGTTTCATTAAGAATTGAATAACTCTATAGGCGTCTAATTCATATCATATATTCCACATTAGTTGTACTTTTAAACAAAACAAAGAACCCCATCGTATCAAATAAAACTTCATCAAAAATTTAGTTTAAAAAAGGGGGGGCCCAATGTTGCCCTACCAACCGAAAGAGATACGCACCATTTTAGAGCTAATAGCGATAAAATGAGTACTTTTCTATAGAGATTTATAGCAGGCG